TGGAAATTTATGTTTGTTATGGAATTGATTGGACAAAATAGCTAACAAACAACTTTTTGAATCTGTGAAAATAGCTGTTTTATTAAGATTATGTGACTCTACATATAACAAAGCTTCACTGATTGCAGTTGCTTCACCGGTAAAAGTGGAGGATAGTGAGGGGCACTTAAAGTTAAGAATGATTTTGAACTTAGGAATCCAAACAGCAGCTCCAGTATAGTCTTCATCAGACTGGAAGTGTCTGTGTACATGACAAGCCAATCTTTAAAGGTGTTTTCTATAATTTGTTTTAATTTCAAATTTGTCATTGGAGAATCCTTTTCTATACCTAGATCTAGATGAATGTCAGGTTGGTAAACAATAGCCTCGTAAAGGACATCAAAGAGTGGATTTATTTTACATTGAAAGATTGGGTAAGGAAGCTGAAGAAAAATTACGAAACTTTTAAACAAGCAGGGAGAGTCCTTATGGGTCCCGTATCGGTCAGATGAGATATACTCTGAAAGAAGATGCAATTTAGGAATTAGGGGATGATCTGAAAGCTGGCAGATCTTAAATAAGAATCTGTCTGAAAGGTATAGCCTTCTTAATCTTAAAGGAGGATCTACGCACTCAACCAGAAGAACATTTATTGGTGAGGATTTCATTGCCCCTGTAATAATGCGAAGGCATTTCGATTGAATTTTGTCCATTACTTTCAGGGATGATTTATTGCAAGGCTCCAAGAGACAACATCCATAGTCAAGATGTATTAAAGCATTGTACAGTAATTTCTGAGAAAAAGGATGGGACCCCCACCGAACACCAGACAAAAACTGAAGAATATTTATGTTTTTTTCGCATTTTTGTGTTATATATTCAATGTAATGACCGAAGGCCAATTTCGAATCAAGGATAACTCCCAAAAATTTTAACATTGCCTCTAACTGGAATAGGTTGCTTATCATATACAACACATATATCGGGAACTCGCCTTTGGCAGGAAAAGATCACCACACTACTCTTGGCCACAGATAAAGAGAGGCCATGATTAGTTAACCATTCTTGTAAATAATCCATGGATGAGTTTAGACGGGAACATGCCACTGTGACGTTGTTTAAGGAGATGTATAGAGCTAAATAGTCTGCATATTGAAGAACATTACAAAAAGAATTTACTGAAAGTTCTAAATCATGAGTATATATAGAATAAAGGAGAGGACTAAGAACTGAGCCTTGTGGAAGTCCTTTCCATATAGTTTTTGGGGGAAGCAGGAAATTTTTAACATTTATAGATATTGATCTAGAAGAGAGAAAGTTAGAGACGTAATTGACTATCCTCATTGGAATGCTCAGATTAAGCATTTTCTGCCTGAGCACAGGAAGAAGCACATTATTATATGCAGAAGAAATATCCAATAAAACTCCTATGAGAAATTCATGTCTTGAAAAAGCAATATGAATATCTGTGACCAAAGTACTAAGGCTATCCATGGTACTTAAACCTTTTCGGAAACCGAATTGTGTTTTAGGTAAGAGATTATTCCTTTCCAAAAACCATTCCAAGCAATTTTTTATTAAATATTCCAAGATTTTTGCCAAAGTACAAGAAAGGGCAATAGGTCGATAACTGGAAGGGTCATTGCTAGACTTACCTGGTTTGAGTATGGGCAAAATAATTTGGGTTTTCTATTCAGCAGGAGGATCACCAGTAATATAAATAAAATTTAAAATGGATAGTAAGACAGTTTTAGTGTTCTCACTACTATTAATTATAAACGAATAAGGAATCCCATCAATACCTGGTGAGTAGTCTTTAAGGCCATTGAGTACAGTAAACAATTCATGAGAAGAAAAGGGGGAATCAAATTTATCATTTGTTTTTAAAAAAGCAGAATTAAAAACTAGGCATTCATCATAAGATGGGACTGTTTGTGGTGCAAGTTTATTAGAGAATTCATCTATCCACGGGGAAGGATCATTAGAAATTATATTTTCACTAGAAACTGCACAGCGATATTTTTTAACATTTCTCCAGACCAAAAATGGGGGAGTCCTAGGTGACAGTGACTCACAGAATTTAAACCAACCAGTTCGCTTTTTGTCTGACAGTAATTTTAAGGTTACTGCAGCAATTATTTTATAGGAGATATAATTCTCTGCAGTCATAAAACGGGAGTATATTAATTCAGCCTCTTTTCTCCTCCTACAAGCTGCTGAACAATCTTGATCCCACCAAGGAGGGGAAGGATAATTATTTTTGAATGTTTTTTTTTAAAGGGATTGACTTATTAGCAGCAGAAATAATTGCATTTCTGAACTCTATATATACAGGAGCAATATTATCATTGTTAATTGGGGTAGAGTTGAAACCTGTTGTTCCAAAACTTTAGAATATAATTGCCAATTAGCTTTGGATAGATTATACTTTAATCTCGGGCAAAATGTAAAATTTATTCTAGGGGAAGTAGGAGTGATGAATATAAGAAAATGGTCACTGCCATAGCTAAAAGGTAATATTTGCCACAAAAGAAGGGAAGCAATATCTGGGGAACAGAGAGTTAGGTCAACGGCACTTCTAACATTTTGTAATGGGGATATTCGACGGGTAGGAGACCCATCATTTAGAATACAGAGATTAAAATTATCAATAAGATCTAAAAATAAGGGACCCAGTGAATTACACAGATGGGAGCCCTAAACAGTATGATGCATATTAAAATCTCCCAAAATACAACCATAGGAGGTGACAGAGAAGAAATAAGTGTTGCAAGTTCTGTTAAAACATTTACATCAGGATTAGGAATGTACACAGAGAGAATAGAGACATCAAGGGCCTTAATAGCAACAGCATTTACTGCTGGACTATGAGAAGGGAGAGGAATTTGTGAAAATGTAACTGTTCTTGAAATTAAAATAGAGGTGCCAGCAAGACCATCACTCCTATCATCCCGGAGGCATGTGTAGCCTGAAACCCTAAAATGAGACTCAGGCCTAAGCCATGTCTCCTGGATGGCAAGAATGAAGGGATGAAGTTTATTAATGAGGTAAATGAGTTCATTTTTTTATTTCTAATGCTCCGACAATTCCATTGAAGAATTGGCGGGACTGCGAATGTTACGGGCTAAGGAGGAAAGCTGAGTAAGTTTTTGGCGTAAGCTGAGAGGAAGTTCTGTGTCACTAAAACGGGAGATCATGTTAATTAGCATTGATATCATAAGTTCGCAGAAATTATCATTACTAGAGGAGTTGTTGTCATTCCCCAGTAGAGCACACCCATTAGGAAGGGAAGAATTAGGATTATCAACAATTGCCTGATGGGCTGCCATATCATATCCAGAATTTAATGATAGGCTGTAGGTACGTTGAGGTATATGATGCAGTTTGTGAGAGCTGAGCCGAAGGGGTTGAAAGACTGTCAGTTATGGTATAAGGAGTCTGTTGAGAATTACGAGGCTGGATTCTTGTTGTATCAGCAAAGGATCTTTTTGCCTGAGGGAATCTAGCTGAAGATTCTAAATATGAAATATTTTCCTGTGACATAACAAGTTTAATAGATTTCTGCCTTAGATGTTCAGGACAAGTAGGGTCTTTTGGGGTGTGGGGACCTGAGCAGAATAGGCAAGTAGGAGTTTGTCGAGTACAAGATAAACCCTTCATGATTCTGTGCACATACAAAGCAGCGAGGGGATGATCGGCACTGGGAAATAACATGGCCAAATCTACAACATTTATGACACTGAATTAGTAGCAAAACATATTTTTCCACTGGCATAGAGGTGTAAAAACAGTAAATATGGGGAGGAAGTTTTTGTCCAGAAAAAGTTAGAATGACTGTCTGAGTTGGAACCCATGAAACGCTATTGCTGTCACTCACTGTTCGTCTATTAAGTCGCCGTGCTTTAATTATAGAACCGTAGCCAGAGGGAATTTACATAGCTGCTATTAATTCTTCTAGTGTCCACTCTATGGGAACTTGTCTAACTAGCCCCATACGAGTGATACTATATGAGGGGATGGTTGCTTCATATTTAGAAATTTGGAGAGCTGGGTGATCCATAAAGGTGTTTGCAACTGCTGCTGTTTTAAACTCCACTGATATTCTATTTCGTCCAACTTTTTTGACTCCATCACGGACTATATTTTTAATATTGTTATGATACAGAAAGTGACTGAATTTAATTGGTTTAAGAATTACTCCAGACAACTGATCATTCTGAGATTTTACTTACGTGAACTAGAAAAGGAGCGGCATAATCTTGAGAGTACTTAACTTTTTTGTTAATAAAATCAGGATGGGTATATGAGGATTGTATTGAAGGAAACTGTTGATTTGGATCAGTAATAACTACTTTTTGTGGATGGGCAGACTCGTTACTTACTTGGGCACGTTTACAGTTAATTAGTTCTACATTATCAATGTTAATGGGTAAGGAAAAGGAATCATTGCGAACCCCTCCGGGATCGGGAGGTTCGTCCTCCATTATGTTACAACAACAAAAAATTACATAAAAACGGCACAACTACAAACATTACTAATTTACAGATGTTAAAACCTCCACCAAGACAGAAAAATTTACTATAGTGAATCAACAACACTAAATTTTAAGCAAAAAAGGCACGACACTTGTATCTCTCACTTCCTCCTCTCTCAATATCCGAGCATCTTACCCTCTGTGATTTCAATCTTATACTACCTAAAGTAGTAAAGTTAAATGTGTCTGCCACATTGAGAATATTATCTACAATACAAGACAAGTTAATATTGAAAAAAGAAACATATAAAAAGGAAATGATGTGGGGAAAAATATTTGATACAGCAACTTATTCTGGTTACTGGGTAAAATTTAGTTTTGTCATGAAGAGGCCATTCTGCAGCAGCTGACTGAAACCTTATGCCTACTGTAACAAAGCACCTCCTCCTTTGCTTGAAGTTGGTTGGTGTCCACAGGTTGTACTAGCCACTTACCACCTGGTGGTCTGTAGGCTGTAATATAATAATATACAACAATGTTTTGTAGGTGATGGTGGGGGCTTACGGCGGAAGTACAATAAGCACAGGGGCAGGTCGCGGAGCCTTGTTGCCGGCGCCCTTGCCCGCTAAACAGCCGCCGCCACCGCGGCCTGTGCTCCGACAGACCAACGGCAAGGAGCCCGAGGGTCCCGCTGTCACCGTGTTCATAGGTAAGTTATTTTTTAAACCAATAGCTGCATGGCCCTGTGGTAAGAGTACTTGGTTTTTATGCGGTAGGTTTTGTTTCGAACATTTATGCTAAGACTCAAACATTGTCTGGATGAGCTATCAAAGCCAGGTAGCTAGCTCTTTTACTGTACATTTTTCACCAATCACTTGAGAACAGTTTTATGAGCTACATTTACAACCAAACCATTTTTACTGCACTTCAATTATTCGGGCTATGTTAATTATTGATATGGGAAATTAATTTGTTTGGTTCAAGGTGCTTAGCACTAATAATTTATTAATTTTTACCATTGACTTATGTTGACATCTTCAAAATTTGAGAAAATAATTCAATTTCTAATAATAATTCGGACTATTTTCTGAAACATGACTAGCAAGGTTACCTAAGCTGTTGCATATATTTTATTTTAAAACTATTTGGTTCTTTAAATAAGAAATCTAATTCATCAAGACCCATTTTACAACATTTTTACTAATTAACTTTTGTTTATGTTTGGGTCGAATTTAGCATTTTATTCTAAACTAACTTTCTGATGAGACTGAAATTTTGAACATAGCTTAGAATCAGATAATAATGTAAGAATATTAAAAAAAATGTGATATATTAAAATTTATTAATACAGTTGACCCACGGTAATCCGACAAAGGTTTTGCAAAGCAGTGTCGGATTATCAAAGACGGATTATAGAGTACTGCCACAGCCCTCTGCCACAGCCCCTTGTAATCCGACACATTACATATCAAATATAAAATAATGTGATGCACAATCAATATCTAAACAGTAAATGGTTAATACCACAGTTACATTTGAACTAAGACAATACGCGTCAAGCTAGTTTCGTGGTGGCACGAACTATTTGCAACCTGTTTGTCCACGTATTCGCGAAAAGGACACCTCCTCCGTGTTGGATTCCTAGCGCGACTCGAATCTACCTACAAGTTAAAGACATGTCGGATTACTACGGGGACGGATTAGTCAGGGGCCGGATTACCGGGGAACTACTGTACAAAGATTTTAAAAAATTTACATGTTTATTGTGGTTTTATCCATAGGCAACATAAGCAGCCGGGTGCCGGACACAATGATACGCGCACTTTTATCGGCTTGCGGGCCGGTGCTCAGCTGGAAGCGAGTGTCCACGTTTGGCTTCTGTGAGTTCGCGGGGCCCGAAGCAGCGCTTCGTTGTGTTCGTTTGTTGCACGAGTTTGCACTCGCAGACAAGAAGTTGCTCGCCAGGACAGACGGGAAGATGCAGGCGCTTGTGGATACCTACAAGAGTAAGTGCACGAGATTTGAGCAGTAGTTTAAATTTTACTTTATTAACTTACTTTTACATCCTTCAGTTACCCTGAAGGCCTCGCCCATAGCCTCCCCCCCCTCACTATTTAATTCTTTATTTAGAAGATGCTGAAGCCCATCTTCTGGTTCAGTTTCGCTCTGTCCTCTCTTATGACGCCCGTGTAATGATTGCCTTTATTGACCTTTAAACATCAATATTAAAAAAATATTAATATTTAAACATTTGAAAATGAAAAAAATACTTTTAGAATAGAATGGAATAAGAATAAATAGTTGTACAGACACTAAAAAGTTAAAAACTACTTTGACAGTTAAAAAGTGTTTAATTATTAGTATTAAATATGGTATAGAGTTCCCTAGCATGGTGATTAAGCTATGAGATTTTACAGTTGTTTCTCTTAGTAGGTTTTTACGTTACTTGACTAAGGTCTCTCAAATGTTTCTCATGCACACCTGCTGTTTATTCCAGACAAAGACTTTTTAGTTATGATGTCACCCCTGAGGACTAGAATTAGATTTTGTTATTATTATATCATTAGTTCAGTAGAGGAATTGTGAATTAGGATTAATTAAGAAAGAAACAGTTTACAGTAACAGTTTTATAGAACATACATATAAGAGTATATTTGTCAATTAATAAGCATAATTTCGTATTTTTTTTGTATAAAACAACTAGAAATGTAACAATAAAATAGTACAAAGAAAAATTTTATGTAGATGTATAGTGTATGTATCATAGTGGTCTTATGGAGGAACCCTGTGGTAGCACACTATGTCCTTTTACTATATCTGATAATAATTTTAGTATAGGAGTTACTACGTTTGTCTTGCTTGTTGAGAAAGTTCTTATCATGTGCTATGTTGTCACAAATCATTGCTCACTGAACAAGAAATAAAACTAGGGATATCTATCTATTTATTTAACTGATTGTAAAGAGGAATTAAATAGTAACACTATACGAAATTATGATATAATTAATTTATTTAGAGAACGATGAGAACTGGTATTCTGCTCTGTGAAATGAATTCTGTTTAGACACAAAAAAGAACTGGGATATCCCGGAAATTTCAAACTGGGAATTCCGAAAAATTCATGTCCGAAATGGAGCCAATTAAGGTTTAGTGTTGCTATTCCCTTGGTTCATTTTATTGTGTAGCTTAAATCTAATTTTTATTTTATTAATCTATTAAAGTAACTAGTAGTTTACCTACCTATGGTAAATAGCTATTGTGGCCCATGTATACTTAAATAAGGTGTCAGGTGTGTTCTGATCTACAAGGAGTAACTTGAGAATACATGTGTTTAAAGAGGATAGTACATTTTCAGAGGGATCTCTAGATATACATGGAGTGGTAGGTGGTAGAGAGTGCAGTAGTTAAGATGTGGTGACGTGTGCAGCGGAGCAGCGGTCGCGGCTGACCGGCGAGGAGGCGCCGGGCGGGGGGCGGGGCTGGTGGGGGCGGGACTGGTGGTGGGGAGGCCGGCGCGGAGGGGGAGGGCTACCTGGACGCGGCGCAGCGCGCGCTGGACGAGGCGGCGCAGCGCCGGCTGGCCGAGATCATGCGCGACCACCAGGACGAGATCAACAACTACGAGCTCATGCAGAAAGGTGAGCGCCGTCCACTCCCATTTACACAAGACCTCATTGTCTCTCTGGAATTATTATTTAAAATATTTTCACGGTCGCTGTGGACCGTGGATGTATGTGAATTCTGCATCGAACTAGTATTTATATGGCCTACAAATAATTGTCTGGATGTTTGACCTTGTGGCGGCGCTCTTGACGCGCCACAAGCAAAACACACCTATACCCAAATCACGCTATCAAAGTTCCGAAGTACTGAAGTATGTATAGAATAGCTGTGTACTGCCACACGGAGCAACCACAATCAAACTCCATCTGCAGTATATGTTTGTTGTAAACTTGCCTCCACGATGGAAAAGAAAAATCCTGGTATGGGTGAAAAATTTTAAAAAAATATTCTCTCTCACTACAAAAATATAAATATGACAGTCGTTCCTACTTGCGTGTATACTTGTGTGTGTACGTGTGTGTGTACGTGTGTGTGTACGTGTGTGTTAGTGTAGTACGTGTGTGTGTACGGTGTGTGTACGTGTGCGCATCATTGTCTCATAGATTACTTTTTTCGCAAATAAAGTAACGAATATACAACAGAAATATCGACTATAAAATTGCAACATTTTTTTATAGGATAGGGTGACAAACGAGCACACAGTCCACCTGATGGTAAGTGGTTGCTGCGGCCCATAGACATCTACATCCATCCTCGATTACAAAACAAAATGCAGATGCGTTGTCACCCGTGAGGACTAAGATGGAATGCCTCGTTTCCAGTAAAAAGGGTCTCCGGTTCTCTACACTCGCCATACGAAACACAGTAGCATTATGCTACTATTTGACTGGTATTTTGTGAGAGCGTGGTCCTTCCCCGGTCGAGCCGACCCATTTATGCTACAACTATACTACTAATATAACTGCAGTATGGCTCTACCACGTATTAAAATATTCTTCCTTCCATTAGACTTCCATTTGACACTATCTTGACACACCTCTCTCGCCTCCTTCACATCCATATACCTACGCGTACATGCTCGTCGGTTAAGGGTATTCTGCAACTAATTTGCTTTGTCACTCTTTCCTAACTAATTTTTTTACATGACCAAACCACCGAAGCATTCCTTTCTTAATCCTGGTCACAAAACAATCTTGCAAACCACACTCTTCTTTTATCACACAATTTTCACTCTGTCATTCAGATTCAGCTCTAACATACTTGTTAACGACCACATTTCTACTGCATTTATTCTACTCTCGTGCTTCTTCTGCCACACCAACTTTCACTACCATATGTTAAAGTAGGACTAAATCGGCATTGTGAGTTCACAAAACACATTATACAAGGCAATTTTAATTTGATCGTTGCAGAGGAAGCAATATCGAAGACGGCTCGCGTGTTAGAGGAGGCCGATATATCTGAGGAGAAGCGTGACGTCATACACCGTGAGATCGGCAAGTTTCGGGAGAGCATGAAGGTAATTTAACCACTGAGGCATCACTGTCATATTGTAGGGTCATCACTCTATCAGGTGTTAAGGAAATCACTAAATAATTTAATTTAAAGTCAATTATGACATATGGCTCAAATTTTGTCACGCCAGACACATGTCGGTGAGAACAAAATTTGAACGATTGTAATCAAACTTGTGTATTTTTATGAGTTATTTGGTCAAGGAATGGACGATGTAAAATATAGCGACTCGCTTTCTCTTGTTCTTTCACGGGCAGGAGGGAAAGAGTGAGACTTCAGCGCCGGTAGACGCGGTGATTGTGGCATTCGGTGAGTGAATTAGGGAGTTGGATAGCACGGTGTCTCGGCCGAAGGTTCTAGCGTAGGGTGGTAGTTACTGTCGGTCCGGAGTCCGGTTGTGATGGTGGTGCAGCCACCAGGTGCCACCGCTAGGTGGCGCCACCGGGCCCGGTGAGTCCACGCCAGAGCCGTGCAGGACCAGACATAAATATACATTCATTCGTAATGTATTTTTAAATAGTTCAATTTTGAATGTTCTTAATTATGTGGAGATGAGAAAAGTAATCAAAGATCAGAAAAGATCAAAAATTGTGTGATATTATCTAGTTTGAAGAGCATCGCCTTCTCTCTCACCATTGTGTACACTATCGTTACCAACACCACATCCTATAATGAAGTAACGTCTACAATACACTCACAATTATATACATTTTTACCCCATGTAAAAAATATTTGCCATCTTTGCCTTTGAAATGCTCATCTACCGCTGCCTTCATTTCTTCGTCACACGAAAATCTTTATTCGCGGGGGCTATCTTCAAATTTGAAAGTAATTGAAAATCGCTGGGAGCTAGGACTACACTTTATGGTGGGTGATTGTTTTCTTCCAATCCAATTTTGTTCAGGCAGCGCTTGTAATTGTTGTTAATTGTGTACACGACTGTAAACTTATCTTTATTTTAAAAAAATCCGCTGGGTGTCTTGCTGATTCTTCCCAGGACGGAGATATTTTCCTAACCAGTGCTAAATCAAATGTAAGGATAACTTTCAATAAGTTATTTGGAGTCGTTACGTAGATTCGATAAAAAAAATTATATTTCTACTTCAAGACGGCTCTATCCTCAAATTAGATAATACACCATTCTATTATTTTTCTCATTTTTTTAATTGATTCCGTTCTATTTCTCTGTCGGTTTCTTGAAACGTAATGTGAAGTTATGACTGTCCTGCAACAACGAAGCTCGCCGGGTTTAGCGTGCATCTAATTTTATACTCTTATTTATTCTGTTCTTTATTATTGGACATTTCGTAATGTTTAACTCTTCATTTCGTTTGAACTTTATATATGTATTTTATATATATATATTTATTATTTATTTTTCTTCCGATATTTATAATATGCTTATTAAATATCTGATATAAATTTTCGCTATTTTACAAATTTTACTCAAATTTCGAGTTACTCGAGACACATGGCTTTATCAATTTATTTTGACTTCATTTTGTTCAATTTATACTTATTCGGCCAAAAATGAACTCAAAATCCAATAACCTTTGTTTGAACTGAACATACGACAGTATAATTTAGTTTTATCCTTTTAGTCTCGATTAACGCGGATCTTTATTTATTCTGTTAAACATTTACGGTTTTAGTCGACGAGGACGATTCGTTACTTATTGTTCCTTTGGTAATTTGAGAATAGTTTTCCTTGTTTTTTTTTTTTAATTTGAAACGTGCTTGTCGACGGGCCGTGGGCCGTGTGCTCGCATTCGTGAGTGGCGAGTCGCGGCCGCGCCCGGACGCTCCCGCGCAGTTTGCACTACACTGAAAATTTGACATACAAGTAAAATTTATTGGTGCGGAATACCGATTAAATTTTCAATAGTGATTTCGGGTCCGATCTGCATTATACTACTTCATGAGTCGACGATTAGATATGATAATTTAGGATTTAACAATCGAGATTTCGCATGCGCCATTCAGTTTACTCTAAACAACCTTTTAAGCTTATTTGAAGTGATTAAAGATAGTGCTAGTGAAGTTTCTGGCACTACGAGTGTTCTTTATTTAAAAAAAATAAGGTCAAAAAAGCTTGTAAAAAAGAAGCCGCGTGATTCGAATAGAACTCGTATAAACGGTGTAGTGTTATGTGCGCGCGCGTTTGGGCGTTGGGGTGGGGAAGGGGTTGAGACGTGTGGGGGGGAGGGGAGTGGAGGCGCCGGGAGCAGCCGGGCGACTTCGCGCCGTGACTTCGCCGCCGCCAATCTGAGTGAGACCGCCTGTTAGCTCCGCACTCTCCTTACACTCCCAGCTGTGGGCCCACTGTGGGGACATCGCGACGTCTCTTACACATGGCTATCTAGTCCGCCATTTTGTTATCACTTACAGCTGTTTTAAACCAAATCGCGTACTCTCGCTCTTTGGCTTAGCACGCACTGCGGTTAAACGCACGCGTTTAACCGCACATCTGAAGCCACGAAAAAAATGTAACACATAGCTTTCTATACAAGCGCACGCATTAGCGGCTTTTTTCAGTGACTGATTTTAAAAACGTAACTGGCTACATTTCAATCGCGGTTTGTAAATGCGCGATTTTTATGTGTCCCATAGCAATAGTATGGCGGCGCACGCACTGCGGTGAACCGTATTCGGTTTCGACTAGACGAGCGCAGATGACAGTCGTTTTTTGCGGTACTAATTAGTAGCAAAATATCCTTTCAGATGTGTTTTATCAGTTAGTGGATGTACCCAGTGCTTATGGCAGCGCCGTTGTTTACGTTTTCTATTTTTTAATTTAAAAGCCAACGCTAAAACACACCCTATATGCTCGAAATCCATTGCGGTACTGAAATAAAATTAAGTAAAACTCCAGCCGCAGTGCGTGATGGTATGCGGTTTTGCGTTTTCAGCTATTCCTAAACCGCTGGCGTTTAATCGCAGTGCGTGCTAAGCCTTAGGCTATATTTTTTAAACCTTTTGATCTGTAATGATACGTGATTGATTTGATTTACCTCGCGAAGTCCCCGTGGTCGGCCACTACTTACATCTCTTTCACACGGCCGCGTGCTCGTTACGCGCCGGCCGATACGAACATTCAAATTGACAAAATTCGAAGCAAACTGACGAATTGTATGTTTATAATTTTACAACTACCCTCTGTATGTTCGCCTCTGCAATGTGTCGAACGTATGAAACGTTTGTTTTGCAATCAGTAGATACTAATGAAAGTTGGACGATGTAACGTGTGGCGAGGTTAGTTTCGATTGTAACGATGGTGACTGTCTCTAGCGGAGCTCGCGGGCTGCGGCGAGGCGGTGTAGGGGCGCGCGTCCAACGTAAGCTTCGCAAGGACTTTACATATTCACATATTTATATACAGTACACACCGGCCCCCCGCCATATGTGCAATGTCGACGTCGAGTCATGTCTCTATATTTGTGTTACGAACCGTAAGCACCTTCTTTTGCTAAATTTTAATTTTAATTTTCATCAAATATTCAAAATTGTTCATAACCGGATACTTTCAAAGAAATTAAAATTGATTACAAATTATACTCTGATTAAATTGAAATTCAGTTTTCACTTTCACTTATACGAAAAATTATAATCTTCTGGTTCTTGGATTTTTCATCAATTAATATTTTTAATATAAATTGTAATACTAAAAAAAACTAAAAATAATTTTTTATACAATTCAACCGCGCGTTAGCGCGAATGACTATACTTAAACTTTGAGCGGGAAAGCAACCAGCTTTATTTCACCATAGTTGATAACTGTATTTAGTTCGTTTAAGAACTTCACCATAAGTTGAGTTTTTTTTTCACAAAATTCTAGTGACAAAAGAAACCAGGCCACCTGATGGTTCCATTAAGTTGTAGCAAAGAAGAATGGGTCCCACGACTACGGCAAAGAAAGCTAAATATGTGTGTGTACTCACTATTGAAGACTAACATAGAACGCCTCACAGCCTGTAATCCTACTGGCGCTCTATACCCTTGCTGCGTGCGCGTGTGCGCGCTGCTGTTTGACGGCGGGAATAGGTAACAGGGTGGTACCTCCCAGACTGACTCCTAGCCAGAAATGGAGCCCTGCTGCCTTGAATTATTGTATTATATTTAATATCTAGCCAACTCTTAGTTTTGATGTATATATTGTTTAAAATAATGGTCCTAATAAAGGTCCTTGTGGTGAACTACTTTGAATTATCTTCACTTCACCTTGTGGCAAGATATTTCTGTATACATCTGAAATCAAGTAATTACATCTGTCATATTCGACTATTGTAAGTGCTATGATACAAACCAATAAAAATATAGAAATAAAAGTTGAAGAAAACGTGCTTTAGAGTGTCGGAAGCTTACTACAAATCTATTTTAGTTCGAATGACCAATTATCGTAACTAAGGATTATTTTCATTATATTTTTAAGAATACAATTTACCATTTTACAAAGTTCTAGTGAAGAATCAAACCTGGATTATTATTAGAAAGTTTTCCTTAGATATAAGTCAGTAACACCAGTATAGAGAAACATAATCGCTATATGTGTGCATGTGGCGGGGTGATTGTTTGTACGTTTGCGAGCGCGGCTTTGGTGCAGGAGGAGGCCGATGTGGTGGTGAGGCGCAAGCGAGACAACAAAGATGAGCGCGAGCGGGACAAGGACAAGGATAAGGAGCGCGACCGCGAGCGGGAGAGAGAGAGGCGTAGAGCGAGCCCCGTCAGGTTTGTAGCAACTTTATATCAAAATTAGGCAAAATGTACAAATTTTCATTAACAAAATGTAACACCTAATTTTATGTAGTATAAAAGAAAAATTGACGTTTTGTGATTAAACCGTAAAATAATACTAAGGTACGACCAACAAGCAGCGATACGAAAGGCCATTAACCTTAAAACGACTGTGGAGTTGACAATCTATTATCTATTTCTTTCCATCTTGTCTATTTTATTCGTAATGTCTCGTTTTCCCGGCAAAAACATGTCAGGGTCAAAACGGGTTCGCCAACATTCCGGAGGCCATTTTAGTAATTGTTGTTTATTTAATTATTGTTATTTCGTTTTGTTGATAATTGTTTTTTATTAAGAGTGGTTAATGATGGAGCCCCAACTACGTACGTTGAGAGATAGATCAACAGATTTTACTTCTCCGAAAAAGAAACGTCCAAAGGTATGTATAGGAATAGGATATATTATATGAATGTTGTTAAGTAATTTTAATTAAAACTTCTTGGTTCGAAGTGTACTTTAAAGTTATCTTAAAGTTATTTAGGAAACAGCAACTGTAATATGTAATACTGTAATAATAAAACTTTTCTTAATTTATTAAAGATGCATCTAATTACAGTATATGTATAATTTTAATTTAATTTTTAATTGTGGATTACTAGTTTTACTGTGAAGGAAAAAATATGGTTATTAATACCTACAAATATGTTAAAGAAACTTGGCCTAATGATAAATACCCATAGAGAAAAGCGATGGCGCAGAAAGCATTTAGTAATTAAATCAAAAAGTAATTTAAATCTACATTATACAATAATTCAAATTAAAACAAAATTTATAAAAAGTCTATTTTTTTGGTTTGCTAGACATTTTTTAAAACTATATTGTCTACTTAAATATATAATCTATCAAAAAGTTACGCACCCCTGCTATTCCTAAAAACCTTGCATTGGTTTTGTTTACATTTGGTATCGCTTCTCGTTGACCGTATTATACACTAATGCATGATTAGGAAAAAAGCTTTTTGTGTGTTTTTACAGAATTTGGGTAACAACCTACCACCTGCTAGCACACAGTCCACCATCAGCTGGATGCTGTAACTTATAGACATCTAGATCTATCTTCAATTAAGAATCAAAATGCAGATGCATTCCCACCCCTGACTACTAAGATGGAATGCTTCGTTTCCAGTAAAAGGATCTCCAGTTCTCTAACCACTTACACCAAAAAAACAGCAGCATTTAGCTGCTATATTACGTTGGTAGTCTATGGGAGCGTAGTTCTTCCTCGGTTGGGCCGACCCATTCGTACTATAACCATAATATATATTATGCAGCATGGTTCTACTGTGTTTTTATCTTTGGCTACATGATCATTTACCATTGGGTGGGTTAGTCAAACATTGCTTTATAAATAGACATGAAAAGAGTCTGAAATTATATATGCGCTATGTTTGTAGCAGGAATGGATTGGCTCGACCGGGGAAGGACCACGCTCTCATAGAATATCAACATAAAGTAGCTGCTTAATACTGCTGTGTTTCATAAGGGGAGTGTCTACACTCTCTAAATCCGGAGGCCCTTTTTTACTGTAAACGAGGCATTCCATCTTAGTCCTCAGGGGTGACCACGCATCTGTGTTTTGATTATTAATCGAGGGTAAATGTAGATGTCCACCTACAACCAGATGGACTGAGTGCTTATTCTATATATTTTTTAAAAAATATCACGAGTCGGTCTGTAAGTGTGAGTCAGTATAATATTGTTAGGAGCTTAGAGGTCGTGACAGTTAAAACTGCCGATTGAAAAGCCAAAATTTCACTGTCACTTTAATTTCTGAACACCAATTAAAACTTAAATCACACTAAAAATTAATCACACTTAACACTTTAGTTCACTTTATTTCGCTTCTAAAGCTTCGTTCGTATCGCCAAGTCAATATTGCCCTGATCGCGGCTTTCAACGGCTTTATATAGGCTTTTTCCACCGAAACATCCAGAATATTCTAGCAAATATCGGCTCCGACCGACCAAGTGCAGAAAGTTCGAGTGTGGGGCTTTCTAGAAAGCTTAGTTCTTCCATTCGATACTAGATGGCGCTAGTGGGAGATTTGTAGAAAGATCTTGACGCTCCTATTTCTGCTGCTTGATACCAGATGGCGCTGATAATCAGCCGGCACATACCATGCCCTAATTATAGCGCGCAACAATATGTATCCACCGCTGAACGCAGGCCTGTCGCTACAGTTGCCGCGCTCGCCAGTCGAGTTGGCAGCTGCAGATTTTAATCATTGGGTGCGTTTGGCAGAAAAAAGCGCTAGCAAGCGCTTGTAAGCAAAATGGCGATCGTAAGCGGTAAGCGCTGTCAAATCGTAAGTAGCTATTTTCCTCCAGGACACGATGTTAGTTTTAACCGGGGAATCTAACCTAATTTAAATATATGTTTGTAAAGTATTCATATTAAAAACTTACCAATCATGAGTTTTTAATAGCATGTATATGTTTATTCATGTCATCATATTACTTAAAACTAATATTGCACAAAACAACTTATAAACTCTACTTCAAAACAAACAAATTAAATAAGCAAAATGGCGGATTGTGTCAGCGCTACTGAAGTAGCAATCGTGTCCTGGCCGAAAACTATTTTAGCGCTTATAAGCGCTTGCTAGCGCTTTTTTCTGCCAAACGCACCCATTTTGAGTTATTATCAGGAAGACGCTGCTGCCTGTCTACCGTTTCGTTTTCGCTCCCTTTCTCGCGTCACGCACGGCACGATAAGGGGCACTGGATATTCTTCCCCGCTTGCTGCTCGGTTAATAATATGTATGTTGTAAAACTATCACATGAAGGCTTGTGATAAAAATGTACCGTCGCTTTCATATTTGTTCGTCTAAAATCCCCTGGATTTCTTTTAATTTATTACATATTATGTCACTACCACTCCACTAAATCTGCTGTGTCTTTTAAGCCTTCAAGGTTCTTGGTCCTTTTCTCTGTTTTTTTTTTTTTAAATATTGTTCAGACATTTTAATCACCTCTAAGTATGGCATCCATGGCAATAATCATCCTTATGACGCGATCTTTGAGGTTTATATGTATTAGGGGAATTTTAATGGGCTTCTTAAAACCTAATAACGAGTAATAAAAATATTAATTACTTCGCAACCTTCCGCTAACCAAATACAATGATGTGTCTTTTATTAAGAGTGTTTTGTACTGGATTGAAAAGCACCTTCCGCCCTCCCTCAATTGCGTGCACTAACTCCGTCACCACTAGTCTCGGCACCACTACTCCCAACACCATGGTGTAGAGGCGAAACACGTGTCGTATTATCGTCGATGGTGTGTCTTACCTGGAATAGTGCTCTTGGAAGTAGTGGTGCCGGGAGTAGTGGTGTTAGGAGTAGTGGTGCTGGGACTAGTGGTGACGGAGTTGTGCATGCAACTGAGGGAGGGCGGGAGGTACTCTTCAATCCAGGTAAGACACATCATCATATTTAGTTAGCGGAAGGTTGCGAATTAATAAATATTTTTCTTATAATGGATTTCCGCAAAGTAACGCCTGATTTTATCAATTTCTAGTAACGAGTATTAAGGTATCCATGGTACAATTTCCCATCTCTACATGACTTTTTAATTGTAATATTAACATTTTGACTTTTGTTATTAATTTTTTTTGATTTATATTATTTGTTTTATTTTAACATTATGAAATATGCAATTTAGGTAATGACAAAATGGAGTTTTCCTAGAAAATCATCAATTTGTTTATCGAAATGGTTTCTTTTTTGCTCGGAATAGAGTACAACATATATTAAATTAATAAATAAATTATATACGTGATTTCTGTACAGGACTAAGGATCGCCGGGACGATCGTGACAAGGAGAGAGAGCGGGAACGCGAAGAAAGGGAGAGGGAGAGGGACAGAGAGCGCGAGAGAGAACGCGAGAGAGAGCGGGAGAGGTGATGTTTTGTTTATAATCTTTTAGAAACAAACGAAATTCATCAATGATTTTAGTTTTAGTGTTTAGTCTTTAGTATTATTAATTATCAGATTTTATTCGATATTCCTTATACTTAAATTATATGAATATTGAATTTGAAAAAAGAATATTGGTCGCATACATATTCTGTTTTTACTCCTTTTTTTTAATTTATTTCATTTGTTTTTGTTTTAGTATTTATTATTATGGGTAGAATCTTTTGAGTATTTGTAGCAAGTAAGATTCTTAAGGTTTCTTATTCTGGCTTATGCTTACCACAGAGAGATTCGTGAGCGAGAAAGAGAACGTGAAATACGAGAAAGAGAGAAGGAACGCGAGCGTGAACGAGATAGAGAGAGGTAAGTTTTTATCCCATATCCTATAATCTATGTGTGGTTCGGATTCATTTCATGTTTGTTATAGAATAAGGATGACAAACCAGCACATAATTCACCTGATGGTAAGTGGATGATGTTGCCCACGCCTACCAGCAATCACTTCAAACTAAGATGGACCACAGATGAGTTGTCACCCTTGAGGATTAAGATAATGCGTCACCCGTTGTTCTAATTATTATTTTATTATGTTACAAAAAATGTTTGCTCTATATATCTTCTACGCGGCTGCGGATGTTGAGTGTCATTAATTTTTTTTGTGTTTAATTAGGATGACGAACGGTCACTTATGCCGGGTTCTAAGCTTAAAAATGCTTCGTTTTTTTTAAAGAGCCAATTTGCAGTATATGAAGGGCATGAAAACCTTTCCTTTTTATAAACAAAATACCATTTCAACTTTAAAGGTTTTTCATTATGAGTCATCCTAAGTTGCTGAATGAATAGTTTGTAATATAATCTGTTTTAACGTGCACATCGTGTGTTAATACGAATCGCTACAGAGAACGAAACGTTTCTTGAATATAGTAATCGCATATTAGTCCACCTGATGGTAAGTGGATGCTGTAGCCCATAGACATCTACATCTTTCCTAGATTAAGAATCAAAATGCAGAAGCGTCGTCACCCCTGATGACTGAGATGGAATGCTTAACATTCACCGTATGAAACAGCAGCATTAAGCTAAAATGGAAAAAATAATAAACAATTTACAACAAACAGTTTTGTATTAATTGTACACAGCACACAGATGAGATCATTAGAACATAAAAATACTGATACTACTAGTGATATAGAGCAAGAACATGATCGTCCGCAAGTCCGGGATCTGCGCAGTACAAGGTTATAGTGCGCGAGTGTGCATCACTCTCACAGTCCAATGCGACAGTAAATCGACACGACCGGAGAGAGATAAAGCGCTAGACGTATGGCTACGACGTGGGTGAAATGCCGCCAACTTCCTGACTTCGAACTGCTAGAGTAATTTTTTGACAGAAAAACCTAAAAACTGATTTTGATCTAATCGGAATTCGAACTTGGGACCGTAGCTTCCCGACTAGCAACTGCGTTTACAATCGCTAGACCAACGAGGTAGTCCTTCTAATGGTCGGGCCACACTAACGAGAAATGCCGTTAACTATCACGTTGATGGATGTTGAATGTAGGTGTGGCCACGAATCAACGCGATAATATGACAACGGCATTAATAATGCCGTTTATCATTTTGCGATAACTGGAGTGGCGGTACATCAAAGGATTAACGCGCGAATTATTGCGTTGAAGCGGCCACACTACGTTTGTCTTATTGTGCACGGTGAGTGCAACGGGGTTGCAAGTATGGCTGCGATGGAGTGCAGTAATGAAGAAAAAAAAACGTACCTCGAGATCCTGCAAACAGGTTCGAGTATTACTAAAGAGCATTGATGTTCGGCGCGTTGCTGCTTTTTCGTATTTACTTGCAATTTTAATATAATTGCATCAATGATAAAATAAAAAATAAAAATTTACTCTCATCAAATATAGAGTAGCTGCGTCAACGTCTATCTTGCTTGAAATTCAAGGAAAATTTAACTTAAAAACATTTAACGCCATTCAACGGGAACTTTAACGCCGTTCAACGGCGTTGTAATTGAAACGACGTTGACCGTTCAAGTGTGGCCACTCACTTTATCGCGTTAAATTTAAGGCAATAATTGTTGCGTTTACGGGCATTGACGTTTCTCGTTAGTGTAGCCACAGCATAAGCGAGCAGTCTGTGGACCTGTGCCTGTGTTGCGTGATGTTTCAGAGGATTGGATAACATTAAGTAATGGACATAGGATGAAAGTAAAGGATATCACGTTGTTTTCATTTGTTAATATAAAAACTGTATAACGTAGTTTGTCGTCTTAACATTACACGTCACCTCGAAGTGATTTTTAAACTCTGATGTCTACTAGCAGAGGGCATGTCGAATACGCGCGATGTTGCTTTGTAAATATTTCAAATTTCGGGGACAAGATCGATTTTAGAGTCTGAAACAGAGCAAGTCCCTTAAAATAAAGAACGATTGGCAACTCTAATATTAATGCATTCATTATTGAGTTTTCCGTCAAGAAATTCTCAGTAGCTGCCCGGAGTCAAGAAGTTGGTGGTGTCTCACTCTCTTGTGCCTCGGAAAGCACGTCAAGCCGTTGGTCCTGCGCCTGATCTCTCTCCGGTCATGTCGGTTTACCGTCCCATCGGATTATGGGAGTGACGGAATGGAGAGGTCTGGAGGACATTATTATTATTATTATGTGTGGGGTATCTATATAGTTTTCTCACCTGGTTGGGATGTATAAATATATAATTATAAACGAAAATGAAAAGATAAATATACATAAATGTCAATAAAATAAAATAAATACGAAAATACATAAATAAATAAAAGCCCAACCAGATGGAAGCCCCCAGCAGGGGAGACCAAACGGCCAAGGGTTAGGGGGAAAGGGAAGAAACCGGCGGACGATGCGGGCAGTATCAAGGAGCACCGCCTTCTGCATTTGAGCCCGGAGCGGTCCGTCACGGAGTCCCAGCCGCCTCAGATGACCAGAGAGGCTAACTGGGATTAGCCCATTCGCAGAGACGACTACAGGAATAATTTCAGTCGGCATACCACCCCACATGTCGGTCACCTCGTGAGCCAGGTCCAGATACTTTGATTGCTTATCTGTTTCGGCTTTCACGAGGTTCTCGTCATACGGGATGGTAATATCGACCAAAAATATCCTTGACTGTGCCCGGTCCATCAGCACCATATCAGGCTTATTCGCAAGAATAGTCCTGTCTGTGATGATGGCGCGGTCCCAGTAGAGCCTGGCGCGGTCATTTTCGAGCACGGCTTCCGGCAAGTACTTGTAATACGGCAATTTCCAGTTCCACGAGACCGTATTTCAGAGCGAGCGCCTGTGGTAGAATTCTGGCTACTAGGTTGTGCCTGTGCAAGTAGTCAGAGTTAGAAAGCGCCGAACAACCGGAGATGACATGCCTAAGTGACTCCCCGGGATGGCGACAAGCTCGACAGACATCGACGATGCCATCCTTTAGGATGTATCTCCGATAGTTGTTGGTCTTAATAACCTGATCCTGTATTGCACAGACAAAACTCTCGGTTTCCCCGAAGAGGTCACCGAAACGTAGCCAGTTGAGGGAGGCGACTGTATCTACGAAGGGCTCATGTAGAGCCCTGTAGTACCTCCCGTGGAGCTCTTTCTCCTTCCATACGGTCTCCCGGTCGGAAATGCTAAGCACTGCCGGGTCTTGCCATTGCTCGTTGGCTAAGGATAGAGGAGTAAGCCCTTTATCACTAGAAATGTCATTATAGAATGGATCATCCGATCTCGCCAGGAAGTAATGACGGAGGCTGCACACTTCACGATTATGCATGGTGAGCGCGCTCAGAAAGCCACGCCCACCATGCTTTCGCGGCAAATACAGCCTCATTACCGACGATCTCGGATGATGCATCCTATGGGACGTCATGGTAGTGCGGACTTTTCTATCCAGGGCGTTAAGTTCAGTCTGACTCCACCTGAGTATGCCAAAGGTATACATAAGGACAGGTATGACCCAACCGTTATATGCGTGTGCCTTATTCACACCGGACAAAAGGCTGTTAAGCACTTTGGTCAAGCGTGCATAAAACACGTCGCAAACTGACTGTTTCATACCCGCCTCATCGATACCGATGTTCTGTGACATACCCAGGTATCGGTATGTTTCAGCCTCGGAAAGGGTCCTTAAGTTGACGGGCATAGATAAGTCTATGCCCTCAGAGTTAGCAACCCTTCCCCTTTCAACATGGAGGACCGCACACTTATCCGTCCCCAGCTCCATTCTAATGGAATGGATTTTTAGCAATTCCATAAGATATTATTATTATTATGTGGGGTATCTATATAGTTTTCTCATCTGGTTGGGATGTATAAATATATAATTATAAATGAAAATGAAAAGATAAACATACAAAAATATCAATAAAATAAAATAAATACAAAAATACATAAATAAATAAAAGCCCAACCAGATGGAAGCCCTCGGCAGGGGAGACCAAACGGCCGAGGGTTAGGGGGAAAGGGAAAGAAACCGGCGGACGATGCGGGCGGTATCAAGGAGCACCGCCTTCTGCATTTGAGCCCGGAGCGGTCCGCCACGGAGTCCCAGCCGCCTCAGATGATCCGAGAGGCTGACTGGGATTAGCCCATTCGCAGAGACGACTACAGGAATAATTTCGGTCGGCACACCACCCCACATGTCGGTCACCTCGTAAGCCAGGTCCAGATACTTTGATTGCTTATCTGTTTCGGCTTTCACGAGGTTCTCGTCATACGGGACGGTAATATCGACCAAAAATATCCTTGACTGTGCCCGGTCCATCAGCACAATATCAGGCTTATTCGCAAGAATAGTCCTGTCTGTGATGATGGCCCGGTCCCAATAGAGCCTGGCGCGGTCATTTTCGAGCACGGCTTCCGGCAAGTACTTAGTAATACGGCAACTTCCGGTCCACGAGACCGTATTTCAGAGCGAGCTCCTGGTGTAGAATTCTGGCTACTAGGTTGTGCCTGTGCAAGTACTCAGAGTTAGAAAGCGCCGAACAACCGGAGATGACATGCCTAAGTGACTCACCGGGATGGCGACAAGCTCGACAGACGTCGACGGTGCCATCCTTTAGGATGTATCTCCGATAGTTGTTGGTCTTAATAACCTGATCCTGTATTGCACAGACAAAACCCTCGGTTTCCCCCGAAGAGGTCACCAAAACGTAGCCAGTGGAGGGAGGTGACTGTGTCTACGAAGGGCCCATGTAGAGCCTTGTAGTACCTCCCGTGGAGCTCCTTCTCCTTCCATACGGTCTCCCGGTCGGAAATGTCTAAGCACTGCCGGGTCCTGCCATTGCTCGTTGGCTAAGGATAGAGGGGTAAGCCCTTTATCACAAGAAATGAC